GCGCCTTGGTACATGGCAACCGACCTCGTGACCCTTTTGAGTCGACTCAAAAGTCATCCGGGTGAATGCAGTGGCGCCTTGGTACATGGCAACCGACCTCGTGACCCCACCCATGCCCTCTCTTCCCCCCTCCTCACACCATGTCTCCCTTTCAGCCGCCATGAACCAGCTCACAAAGAACCTGGCGTGCGAGTGGGCTAAGGATGGCATTCGGGTGAATGCCGTGGCGCCCTGGTACATGGCAACAGACCTCGCCAACCAGGTAATGAGGGTAACCAGGTAACCATGTATAAGAACCACCCATTCAATCGCACCTCTTGCTGCTGAGTGGGTCAAGCAAGGATGGCATCCGGGTGAATGCAGTGGCGCCATGGTACATGGCAACAGACCTCGCCAACCAGGTAACCCCATTCCGCTTGGAATGGTAACCAGGTATGAGGGGAAGGAGGGCATCAGAGTGAATGCAGTGGCGCCGTGGTACATGGCAACAGACCTCGCCAACCAGGTACCCTTCATTATAAGCAACCTCTCTTGACTCCCCACACATTCTGTCACACTTTGCTGTCGAATGGGCACAAAAGAACCTGGCATGTGAATTGGCCAAGAAAGGATGGGATCAGAGTGAATGCAGTGGCGCCATTTTACATGGCAACAGACCAAGCATTTTCTGCCGATGTCTGACGCCGATGGCAAGGGTGGGAGTCACTTTTGAGAATTCTCAGAAGTGTTCAAGGATGAACGCTTTTCTGCCGATGTCTGACGCCGATGAGGAGGGTGGGGGAGCCTCAGGAGGCAGCAGCAGCTGTGGCGTTCATGTGCATGCCCCCTCTCCCCCTTCCACTGGGCCAGCCAGTTCCTGTTATCTTTTCCCAGTCCCATTCTCTCCTTCCCCCACCCTCCCTATTGCGTTAGCCAATGAGAAACCACACTTGACAAATATTGTTTGTTTTTTTCCAAACCACACTTTCCCAGGTGCTCAAAGACGAGGCATTTTCTGCTGACGTCATCAGTCGAACGCCCTTGAGGAGAGTGGGGGAGCCGCAGGAGGCAGCAGCAGCTGTGGCGTTCATGTGCATGCCGGCCGCTTCGTATGTGTCGGGACAAGTGCTGGCTGTTGATGGCGCTTTCACTGTTAACGGATTCTACCCTCGGACTGATGATGCATAGGCTGCAGCGCTGCCATATAGAGAGACAAGAATCAAATCAGGAGTAGGTGAAACCATGTGGCATGGTTGTGGTGGTGGTGGTGTCTCAAGAGGGAGCCTCAGGAGGCAGCAGCAGCTGTGGCGTTCATGTGCATGCCCGCTGCTTCCTACGTGTCGGGGCAAGTGCTGGCTGTTGAAGGTGCTTTCACTGTTAACGGGTTCCTGGAGTGATGATGCATACGCTGCAGCTCTGCCATAAAGATAGACGAAAATCAAATCAGGAGTAGGTGAAACCATGTGGCGTGGTTGTGGTGGTGGTGGTGGTGTCTCAAGAGGAAGCAGCCTCAGGAAGCAGCAGCAGCTGTGGCGTTCAGTTATTCCACCAATGTGCATGCCGGCTGCTTCCTATGTGTCGGGGCAGGTGTTGGCTGTCGACGGTGCTTTCACTGTGAATGGCTTTAACATGTTGGTGGGAAAAATATGACTGATGAAGGAGAAGGGGTTGCTGAGGGTGTGCCCAAACACACTGATTGTGTTCTGTTCTTAGAAAGGGGCAAAACCTTGTGGTAGGTAGGTAATAGGTATGAGGTATCTTGCTGCCTGAGGAAAATAGATACTATTGTGAATCTAAGCTGCTTAATGTAGCTCTGTTTCACTTTTCCACCGCTTGCTGACTGTATCGGGGGTGTCGTTGGGCACAGAGTAGTGTTCGCGAGTATTCTAAACCTTACCCAACCGGTGAAAGGTTTAACAAGTCTTTCTGGAACGCAGAAAACCGTTCTGAAACGCTGATTACTGGACTTTCCTTGTTACGCGCCATCTGTCCTATTTGTCCAACACCAATTCCAACACCAGTTTCAGACGAAACACAGGCTGTAGTGGAGCAGAAGCCATGGCGGTGATTGACGGCTGCTGGTCATTCACAGGGACAGCGACAAGCTCGAGAAAGTCGAAGAGCACGCAACACAGCAGTCAATATAGCTAGCCTTAGCCGACAGGGAACAGTAACCGGTTAGTCCCTCTTCTCGAAAACTTCGCCGTCGCTGTCGCTGTCACTTATATTGCTGCTTTTTCTGGTCCATGAAAGGGACTAGAAAGAAGTTGTCTATCTGGGACCCTCTTTGGGATGATGAACCCGTGGGAGAAACGCTGGAGTCTCGAGCATCGCTGCTTTCGAGACTGGCTAGAGAAAATAAAATTGCTTGCGTCCTGTCCCGCATCATGCGTCACATCATCGCAATTTCCGTGCGAGCTTACCCATGCCTCACCGCTTCTTCCTCCATCCTCGTGTCTCTCGCTCCCTGATTGACGACGGAAACTGTCAGGTTTTGCAGTTTTCATATCGTCTTTGGATTGTCCTCTTATCTGCACATAGAAGAGAGTTTACCTGAGACAGATCGAAGCCTATCGTGTGAGACGAGAAACAGGAGGAACTGCAGAGTGATTGGTTCCTTAAATCGATCCTGGTCCGGCCAAAACGATCCTGGCCCGGCCTTTCTCATTCCTGTCACGCGTGGCGTAATTGAAGCTCTAAGTCAGTTCCAGAGCTTCTGTTGAGGAGCCTCAGATGTTGATCCTGGCCTGACCTTTCTCACTCCTGTCACACCTGGCGTGATTGACGCTCGAATTCACTCCCAGAGCTTCTGCCGATCGGCTCCTTCCAAAGCCGGACTTGCTGCGAAGCAATCTAGTGTCTTCACAGTCAAGGGTGCAAGTGCGTTTCGAGCCGGTTGACGTTTGAAACTTTGAATGCAAGTTTGACGTCTCAAGTTTCTTCTTAGACGTCTCAGTACCCGTAGCTTGTGTATCGCGGGTGAGGTTGCATTCTGGTCAGTTGTATAGAGGGATCAAACGGATTCTGGTTACGAGTTGTTGCGTAACCTTCAGTTACTGAGTGACTTGGTCTCTACTGCTGCGATCCCGGATTCCATTCTTGAAGTTCTTGGTTGCACTTGGCTGGGATTGTACTACCATGCCAATGCGCTTCCACTGAGACCAAGCGAGGGTGAAGCAGCAATGACAAGGCCTTTTCAAGGAAATCAACAGCTTATACTGAGCCGTTGATCAGCCTCTGTTCATCTGTAGCAGCTCTTCTGAATCCGCTCTACTGCACAGCTGCTCTGAATTCTTCCAGCATATCTGCTTACATTTGAATCAGCTTCCTCTCAACTCAGCTACCAGCCATGCTTACACATCGGCATCTCTCCTCCCTCAGCAACAACCCCTTTCCACCCTCTCCTCCTCCACCCTTCTCCGTCCCCATCCTCGTCTTTGCCCCTGAAATTACATCACCAATGCCATCTTCCTCCTTTCACAACACCACCTCCTCTTTTGAACCAGACTTCTTTGATTCTGCAACCCTTCTCCGAGCTCTATCCATCTCGGGCCTTCTGGTGGTAATTGGTGGTCTCATCGGCCTGATTATCTTTCGACTTGCTGTGGTCTGGATCGTGTGGACGAGAACACGCCACATGTCGCCCTGGCGCCTCCTTGTCACGCTGCCACTCATCCACCCCTTTGGTCTGAACCCTGATGGCTCAGCCTCGACCGGACGAAGTCCTTCTTCTCACACGCAAGGAGCAGCGGGGCTGACGGAGTCAGTGGTTGATGTGGAAACTGCTTCTACGAATGAGGTATGCAGGCCTGGTCTTGTTGACACAAGGCATGTTTTGTTCTGGTTCAAAGCTCAAAATCCGTTTTGGATCAATGGAGATCGGTGCAGTAGTTCTTGTGGCTCCGTTAGTGAGACCTCCTCAACCCTGGGTCTCATCTAATGCCTGCCTGCTTGGCTGAGTTCCGTTCCCTCCGTCTCACGCACAGCCCACAGTGATGCATATCCGTACCTTAAGATTATCATAGCTGTTACCTGAAATTTGCTAACCACCTTGCTTGATCCTCTTCTTTCATTCCTTCCTTTCCTCCCATCCCATGACTTGCAGCTTCAGGGGCAAGAAGTTGCAGCCCGATCAGGGAAGCTGGTGAAAAAAGGAGCGAGCACACAACAGCTGTCGCAACTTGTTTCCAACCCCATCGGGGCTGAGCAAGCAGAGAAAGTAGAGTAAGTGTATATGTGTCCATGTTGGTTTGGATTGGCACCTCATTTTCTGTTTCCCCATAGATGCAAACTATGGTACACCATTTCATGGTTTACTGCATCAACATCGGCCACCCTATACCCTGCTGCTAGTATACGTCGTTTCCTGTGTATATTTCCCTACGAAATGCTGTTCGTTTCCTCCCCTTCGCTTCCATGTCCACCCTTCCCTGCTGCTCCCTTTGCTGTGTTGTGTATGTACTCTCCCTTGTGTGCACCAGGTGTATTGTCTGCCTTTCTGAAATGGTTGTTGGGGAGTCTGCAGTCACTCTCCCATGCTGTAACAAGTCATTTCACCAACAATGCATCACAGCGTGGCTTGCAACAGCTGGGGTGTGTCCCCTTTGCAGGAGCTCTCCGTTTCAATGAATCTATTACCCTCATGACCTATGTGTGTGCAGTGAACGAGTGTTCAAGAGTCATGTATATTCTCCATTTTCATTCTTGTTGAAGCAGCCTTGTTGTTACGGCAGTATCACATGACATGACACCCCCTTTCTCAGCCTCAAATCCTGTCCAGTCATAGTGTGGGTCCCAATTGTAACTCATTCAACCATTTTTTGACCAAGTACCGTACCATGTTTCAACTCAATCGCCATTGATCATCGTTCCTGCCATGTATTCCCATCTTCGGTAGGCCGGCAACCACTCCAGGCCCTTGTTTGAAGTCAGTAATCAGAGAAGAGGCCGGCTCACTATTTTGGGTACAATAATGCATGGAAAACGTCCCATAAATGATCCACTATACACCAGCAAAGTCATCAACCATAGTTCAGCCGGAAAATGTCGTTGAGGACGTAGAAGCTTCCAGCAGGTGTAGGCATCAAGTGAAACATCTGCACAAAGAAACGCGCCGAAGCTTAGGGAACATCTTAATAGATGCATGTCGGGACGAGCCGAATACCAGTGGAGCTTGGATGAAAGTTATATACACGATGTGAGTAGATTAGGGTTTCCAACGAAAATTTTGCGCAGATACGCAGATCATGAAAAAAGACGGTTGAACACCCAGCCTACCTGGCTAAATTTGAGAGGATGCTCCTGATCTGCCAGTTTCAAGCTCCCACTGACAAACACGACCATTCCGCCTCCAGGACCCGACGGCTGGCAGTCGACCGTGCTGACGATGTGTGTGCAGGACTGGAAAGGCAGGCTCGAGATCTTGTTCTGGATGTTTTGAACTCCCTGGAACTTCTCACCCTCGAACGTCAGCATCGACTGATCCTGGTATAACGTGTACAAGTTAGTGCGGGCCGTGTCGAAGGTGGTATAATAGTGCTGCACGAACGCCTTGGCCAAGGCATCTGGATCCATGGCGACTGACTGATGCAGCCGAACCGGAGACGCTGCAACGGCAGGAAATGAAGAAATCTAGGAACTATTGGTCCGTCAGTCTTGACAAGTCTCCAGGTTCGTGCAGCACGAGCTTGAGCTGGAGCAAAAGATGGAGGTGGAGGGGTCACTGGGAAAGACGAAAACCCTGAAGTTCGTACGCTTTAGTGAGGGAAACCACTGTAGACTTTTCTGCAGAATATTGTACCGAAAGGGATAAGTGAAAATGGATAAATAATATAAGTTTTCTGGGAAAAAAACTTTTAGGCTGTTCTTTCAAGTTATCTTTTTTCAACATTTCAGACCTTCCATTATTCACATTTGTTTTTGTAGAAACAGGAAAATAGAGGAAATATGTTTTGCTATATCTGATCAAGGCGGTTTTAGCTGTGTAGAGCACTAAATGTGCTGGGATGGTTTGGCTTTCTAGCATATAACACACGGTTTTGTTAGGTGTGGTGCGTTCCGAAGCGTTGCGATGTACTGGAAACAAACACTCATCCCCGTTGAAAGCAAACCTGTTTTTTACAAATTCAAGTAGCCGGGTTCAGACCGGTGAGCAGCATTTCAAAACGGTGAATCTCTGTAAACCATTTCATGCCCAGCGTCGGTACTGAACGATCTGTAGCTAAAAATCCAGAGGTAATCCAGCCGACTCGAACATAATCTGCGACCAGCCCTGACAAGCATCTAAGCCAGATCCAGAGACCACTGAGAGCATTTCTGACTCTGTGCATTAGCCGTGCAATAGGAACCAGTTCCTTTTTTTCGAAATCCTATGGCTGCCGATCACGGCGACAGCAGCAATCAAGCAGGACCGGAGAAAGCCGAGCCGTCGGAGATAAATCACAGCGGGACGGAATCAGCCCGAGAAATGCGGAGTGGGCAGGAATCTGACGGACAGGGGGAGAGAAATCCTTCGGGCAATGAACCTGCTGGAAGCAACAGCGAAGCTTCGGCTTCCAAAGCAGGAACGAAGCCAGAAGAATCAGCGGAAAAAACTGCAGACAAGGAGAAGACAGGGGAGGGAGGGAAGGAAGGAAGAGACGGGAACGCCGGGGGAGGAGGGGAAGAAGCAGAAGAAGAAGATGAGATTGATCCGCAGAACCCGCGTGGTCGCTTACTGATGGCGAAGCATGCAAAGTACATAAAAAACCTGGACAAAGTACTTGATTAAGTGAATCTGGACAAGTTGCGTGATTCAGGGAATTAGGACAAAGTACATGCTCTAGGGACCAGTTGAAGGTACGTGATTTAAAGCGAGGGTAGTACCACAAATACGTGTTCTGAGGATCATTTTGCTCCTCTGACTGACCTCACTTGGCTCCCTCACTTACAGATTCGGACTGTTATGAGTGCAAGTGTGCAGCAGCAGCAAACATTGTTTCTTTGTCGGTTTGTATTTTCGTATTCTATGTATATTTCCATTTTGTTACTGTAGAAAACAGAGGGGATCGAGTATGTGGCGACGGAGCATCTGAGGATGAGCGGAGCCTACTGGGGGTTGACAGCAATGGACCTGATGGGGAGGCTGAAGGACATGCACAGCCCCACCATGCTGCCCTGGCTACTCTCCTGCCAGCAACCAGACGGTGCGTGGGGCGGGGGGAAGAGGGGGAGAGGATGAGCGGGGAGTCCATGGGGAGACTGGCTGAAATGCACAGCCCTGCCATGCTGCCCTGGCTGCTCTCCTGCCAGCAACCAGACGGTGCGTGTGTTTCTCTGTGGGGGAAGGGGGTTGGAGGGGGGAAGGGAGTGTGTTTGTGTGTGGGAGGATGAGCGGGGCCTACTGGGGGTTGACAGCGATGGACCTGATGGGGAGGCTGAAGGACATGCACAGCCGTACCATGCTGCCCTGGCTGCTCTCTTGCCAGCAACCCAACGGTGCGTTGTGTGTTTCTCTCTGTGTGGGTGTGCATGCGTGTGTATGTTAGCGTGCGGACATGCACAGCCCCGCCATGCTGCCCTGGCTGCTCTCCTGCCAGCAACCAGACGGTGCGTGTGTTGGGGTGGGGGGGGGGGAGGGGGGGGGAAGAGATGAGTGGCGAGGCGAGGAAAGAGCGGGGCCTACTGGGGGTTGACAGCGATGGGCCTGACGGGGAGACTGAAGGACATGCACAGCCCCGCCATGCTGCCCTGGCTGCTCTCCTGCCAGCAACCAGACGGTGAGTGTGGCACTCCTGGTGAAACTGGCTGACATCCACAGCCCCGCCATGCTGCCCTGGCTGCTCTCCTGCCAGCAAACCAATGGTGCACGTGCGTCTGTGCGCGCGTGCGTGTGTGAATGATTGAGTGGCAGCACAGGAAATGATTCCTCACCTTCTCTAGACGCTCAGTATCATCCAAATCCTCATTCCATTCGCCTTATCCTCCTCCTTCCCCCCCTGTGTCTACTCCTTTCTATCAGGTGGTTTCTGTGACAGCACAGGACATGGTTCGCATCTCCTCTACACGCTCAGTGCTGTCCAGATCCGCATGCTCCTCCTCTGTCCTACTCTCCCCCATTTTTTCCCCATATTTCCCCTACCTTCTTTTCCATCAGGTGGCTTCGGTGGCAGCATAGGACATGATTCTCATCTCCTCTACACGCTCAGTGCCGTCCAGATCCTCGCACTACTGGACAAATTGGACGCTGTAGACGCCGACCGCATCGCCACCTGTCAGTCTCTCATCCCTCAATCATAGCCACCTGTCAGTCTCTCATTCCTCAATCATAGCCACCTGTCAGTCTCTCATCCCTCAATCATAGCCACCTGTCAGTCTCTCATCCCTCAATCATAGCCACCTGTCAGTCTCTCATCCCTCAATCATAGCCACCTGTCAGTCTCTCATTCCTCAATCATCGCCACCTGTCAAGTCTCTCATTCCTCAATCATCGCCACCTGTCAGTCTCTCATTCCTCAATCATAGCCACCTGTCAGTCTCTCATCCCTCAATCATAGCCACCTGTCAGTCTCTCATTCCTCAATCATCGCCACCTGTCAGTCTCTCATTCCTCAATCATAGCCACCTGTCAGTCTCTCATTCCTCAATCATCGCCACCTGTCAGTCTCTCATTCCTCAATCATCGCCACCTGTCAGTCTCTCATTCCTCAATCATCGCCACATCGCTCGCCCGTCTGCGCTGTCTCAAGTTACTTCGGAGTTTGTTTGAAACCTTGAATCTGTCGAATAACAAGCCTTGGCTTACACACCATGCATCAAATTTGTTTCAAGCTCGATCGAATCAGGCTCTCGGGGTCAGTTTCTGCTTGTCTTGTCTGCCACGTAGTGGGTTGAAGATGGGTTTGTTTTGAGTCAACTCAAACATCAGTTTCTAGATATTCCTCTTTCTTGTATTTCATGTTCTTATTGTTTCTTTCTTGTCACCATGACAGATGTAGCAGGGCTACAGCAACCGGATGGGTCGTTCATCGGAGACGAATGGGGGGAGGTAGACACACGGTGAGTGGTGAACACAGTGGGTGAAGGGGCAACACAGTTGGTGGGTTGTAGAGCAAGCAGGCACACACTGGTGTGTAGCAGGGCTACAGCAACCGGATGGGTCGTTCATCGGAGACGAATGGGGGGAGGTGGACACACGGTGAGTGGTGAACACAGTGGGTGAAGGGGCAACACAGTTGGTGGGTTGTAGAGCAAGCAGGCACACACTGGTGTGTAGCAGGGCTACAGCAACCGGATGGGTCGTTCATCGGAGACGAATGGGGGGAGGTGGACACACGGTGAGTGGGTGGGTGGCAAGCACAGTGGGTGGATGGGTGGCAAGCACAGTGGGTGGATGGGTGGCAAGCACAGTGGGTGAATGGGTGGCAAGCACAGTGGGTGCCCTATGCCCCACTCTCCCTCTTCCCCACTCTCCCTCTTCCCCACTCTCCCTCTTCCCCACTCTCGCTCTTCACCACCTCCCTGTTCTCCCTTCTTTTTCGCCAAGCTTTTCTCCCTGTGCTGCCTTGTCCCTTAGCTCCTCAATCACGCACATCCCATCCCATCAACTGACCTATCTCCTTATGCTTTAACTGGCTTCATGTCCGTTCTGATTCATCATCATCCCCATGGCTCACTGCCGTGATGCCATCCTCCCCCCAATCTCCTGCCTATCCCTCCTCAATCTCTAACCCTCCCACTCCTTCCCTGTCCCTCTCCCCATCCCCCAGCTTCTCCTACTGCGCCATCTCCTGCCTCTCCCTGTCCGATCGCATGCACACAATCAACTGATGCCTTCGCTTCGATTCCTTGCCTCCCAATCTCCCCTAACCATCTCTCTTCGTCCCCCCTTCCAGCTTCTCCTACTGCGCCATCTCCTGCCTCTCTCTCACGCAATCGAGTGATGCTCCCACTTCCATCCCTTGCCACTCTTTCCCCCTCCCTTTCAACCCTTACCCCCCCCCCCCCCTCCCTCCCTCAGCTTCTCCTACTGCGCCATCTCCTGCCTCTCTCTCATTGATCGCACACACGCTATCGACCTCCCCGCAGCCGATTCATGTTCCTACATGCCTTACCGCATTCCTCCTCACGTCCTTCCCCTAACCCACCACACCCCCCTTCTTCCACCCCCACTCCCCCAGCTTCTCCTACTGCGCCATCTCCTGCCTTTCCCTCCTCGATCGCACGCACGTCATCGACCTCCCCGCTGCCGTCCGATTCATCTTGACCATGTCTTCCTGCATTCTCTGTGTTTCAACCCCTACCCTCTCCCCCCACTTTTCCACAACCCTCCGCACCCATCCACACCCCCCCCATACCCCCCCATACTCCTCACAGCTTCTCCTACTGCGCCATCGCCTGCCTCTCCCTCCTGGATCGCACACACGCCATCGATCTCCCTGCAGCCGTCCGATTCATCTTCCAAATGCCTTCTTTCATCCACACCCCTCCACAACCCCCCACACCCCTCCACACCCCTCCATACCCATCCATACCCCTCCCCATCCCCCAGCTTCTCCTACTGCGCCATCTCCTGCCTCTCCCTGCTCGATCGCATGCCCGCCATCGACCTCCCCGCGGCCGTCCGATTCATCGCCAGCTGTCAGAACTTTGACGGCGGGTTCGGGTCCGTTCCGGGCGGCGAGTCACACGCCGGGCAGAGTGAGTGCAAGAGAGTTTAACCTTTTTCATGTACATGTATGCATGCAGGTATATATACGTGTTTTTGGGTCTAACAATATGTATACTGTGCTTTTACCAGTGCTCAACAACAGAGCTCTACTTCCAGTCAGTAACTCTGGTTCGGTTGTCAGCTGAACTTTTAAGTCTACTTCTAGTCATTGCCCCTTCGCCAGCTGTCGGGACTTAAATGGCCGGTTTAGGTCCATTCTTCTTCTTATCCGTTACCCGTCTCTCCTATCCTCACCACCAGGCCTGTCGATTCACGGACATTTGTCCGTTTTCCCTGAGAATTCAGGGTTAGTTTCAGCTCAGCTCGGAGATTTTCAGGGCTGGTCTTTCCCCGGCCCGGATTCCCAACGGACAGGTTTTGGGCCTTTCCCGGATTTCCCGTACCTGGCCCCCCCTTCCCACTCCCCTTCTTCCTGACTTAGACGGCGAACTTGTCCCTCTCCCCCTCCTCCCAACAACACCAGCCCCCCCACCGTTCCCCTAGCGTGCTCTGCTCTATGGTGTATGTCTAGCTCGAATAACTTAGCTTTTGAACGCATGTTTCTCAGAGCCCGAAATAAAAATGCCCTGAATCTAAGGGCCGGATTTGTCCGCTTCCCGGATATTTCAGGGTTGTTTTCGGGCCAGCTCAGCTTCGTACGGGTTGGACCCAGACCAAGCGACAGCCCTGCTCACCACCCTCTCCATCCTCTCCTCTCTTCCCCTCCAGTGAGGTGTATTTTGAGGCGCCTCAAAATACACCTCACTTATCCGTTACCCGTCTCTCCTATCACCACCCTCTCCGTCCTCTCCTCTCTTCCCCTCCCCCTCCCCCTCCACCTCCCCCCCCCCTTCAACTGAAACAGTCTTTTGCTGTGTGGTAGCACTGGCAATGGCTGGCGCGCTCTGATTGGTGGATAGGGATTTCCTTCTCAGTTCTTCCAAACCTACCCACCAAACCAGTCATCTCTCTACCTCTCTCACTCTCACTCCCACTGCTCCCCCCGCCACACCCACCAGTCTTCTGCTGTGTGGCGGCTCTGGCAATAGCTGGCGCGCTCTCATTGGTCGACCGGGATCTCCTCGGCTGGTGGCTGTGCGAGCGCCAGGTGCCAGCAGGGGGGCTCAACGGGCGACCAGAGAAGCTGCCAGATGTGAGTAGTGACACTCTATCTGCCTACCTACTGTCTGCCTACGATCTGCCTACTACCACCCTGCCTCCTCGGCTGGTGGCTGTGTGAGCGACAAGTACCAGCAGGAGGGCTCAACGGGCGACCAGAGAAGCTGCCAGACGTGAGTGCCTGGGTGACACATGAGTGGTGCCTTCTCTCTGCTACCCTCTTTCTGGTACCTTCCTTTGGGGATCTCTTGGGCTGGTGGCTGTGCGAGCGCCAAGTACCAGCAGGGGGTTCAATGGAAGAACTGAGAAGCTGCCAGACGTGAGTATCACTGTCTGCCTACCACCTACCTCCCACTCCCTGCCTGCTGGGCTGGTGGCTGCGCGAGCGACAAGTACCAGCAGGGGGACTCAACGGGCGACCAGAGAAGCTGCCAGATGTGAGTATGACCTGCTATCTGCCCACTATCTGCCTACCTCCTGTCTGCCTACCTGCTAGCGAGCACCCTGCCTCCTGGGCTGGTGGCTGGTTGCTCTGTGAGCGCCAATTACCAGCAGGGGGGCTCAACGGGCAGCCAGAGAAGCTGCCAGATGTGAGTAGCTTCCCACAATGTACCCACATTCATGTTGTCATCCTCTGCCTTCCCTGTGCTTTGATCTCATTTGTTTCAGGTGTGCTACTCCTGGTGGGTGCTCTCGAGCCTTGTGCTCATCGACAGGGTGCATTCACAACCACCCTATGAATGTGTTTGTCTTCTTCTCCTATATGTTGCCTTGATTGCCTTCGTTGCCTCTCAGGTGTGCTACTCCTGGTGGGTGCTCTCGAGCCTCGTGCTCATCCACAGGGTGCATTGGATCAGTGCAGAGAAGCTCACCCATGCTCTCACCTCACTCCCTCATGTTCCCCTTCACTCCTACTCATTCTCTTCAGGTGTGCTACTCCTGGTGGGTGCTCTCCAGCCTCGTCCTCATCGACAGGGTGCATTGGATCAGTGCAGAGAATCGCACCATACTCTCCCTCACCCCTGAATGATGTTTCCGTGCTTCACTGTCTTGCTGTACCTACTGTCCTACCATGTGTCTCAGGTGTGCTACTCCTGGTGGGTGCTCTCCAGCCTTGTGCTCATCGACAGAGCGCACTCGCCCCGCTGATGTTGATTTATGTGTTCTCTTTCCTGTCTCTCCTCATGCATTGTGTCTCAGGTATGCTACTCCTGGTGGGTGCTCATCCACAGGGTGTATTGGATCAGTGCGGAGAAGCTCTTCCATACTCGCACTCCCACTCACTCCCTCTCACTCCCTCTCACTCCCTCTCACTCCCTCTCACTCCCTCTCACTCCCTCTCACTCCCTCTCACTCCCTCTCACTCCCTCTCACTCCCTCTCATTCCCTCTCACTCCCTCTCACTCCCTCTCACTCCCTCTCACTCCCTCTCACTCCCTCTCACTCCCTCCCACTCCCACTCACTCCCTCCCACTCCCTTTCCGTTTGTTGCTGTCCCTTCCATCTTCTTAGGTGTGCTACTCCTGGTGGGTACTGTCCAGCCTTGCACTCATCCACAGGGTGCATTGGATCAGTGCAGAGAAGTGCATCCGTTCTCTCACTCCCTCTCACCCCTTAATGATGTTTCTGTGCTTCACTGTTTTGCTGTGCCTACTGTCCTCCCATGTATGTATCTTCTGGTGTGCTACTCCTGGTGGGTGCGCTCCAGCCTTGTGCTCATTGACAGGGTGCATTGGATCGGTGCAGAGAAGAAGCACGTCCATGCTCTAACTCCATCTCACTCCCTTCCCCTCTCATTCTCATCAGGTGTGCTACTCCTGGTGGGTGCGCTCCAGCCTTGCACTCATTGACAGGGTGCATTGGATCAGTGCAGAGAAGCTCTTCCCTTGCCTTCCTCTCTGCCTTGTCTATGTGTTGCGTTGCCACCTTCCTTGCCTGACTCTCAGGTGTGCTACTCTTGGTGGGTGCTCTCCAGCCTTGTGCTCATCGACAGAGTGCATTGGATCAGTGCGGAGAAGCTTCAGCACTTCATTCTACAGTGCCAGGTGATTGCAACAATCCCAGGTCCTCTGAATGTCACTGCGCGAATCTAGGCCTTCCAGGTGGTTTCAACAAAGGCAAATGGTGCTGCTAATGTTGCAGTCTCAAACCCCCCATGCATGCAAACGGGACAAGGAAAGGGGCGGCATCTCCTTTTCAAGCGCCCTAAGAATATCCTCCTCCTCCCACCCACCCACCAATTTATTCACCCACCCATTCTCCCATCCATGCACGCAGGACGAGGAGAGGGGTGGAATCTCAGACCGACCAAACGACATGGTGGATGTGTTCCATACCTTCTTTGGCATAGCTGGTGAGTGGGGGGTGGGGTGGAGCATATGATGCATGGGGTTGAAAACACTTGGGACCGACCAGACGATATGGTGGATGTGTTCCACACCTTCATTGGCATTGCAAGATAGCCATAAGAGGATGAATGTATGGCATGCGTACGGTATGATAACCCCCTGTTGCTGTGCTTTCCCTCCTTGGGTCAGGCCTGAGTCTGTTGGAGTATCCCATTCTCAAGCCAGTGGACCCAGCTTGTGCGCATTCGGTGACCCCCAACTATCCTTTTCCCCATCCCTCTACTCCTCTCTTCCCTCCCCCCATTCTCCTACCTCCCCCCCCTCCCCTCCCCCACCCCTCATATCAGGCCTGAGTCTGTTGGAGTATCCCAACCTCAAGCCAGTCGACCCAGCATATGCACTTTCTGTAGATTCAATTACACCTTTCAGCTCCCTTCCCCCATGCCCCTACCCCTCTTCCCCTCCTCCCACTCCCTCTTTTATTCCTTCACCCCGTTCCTTTCCTCTCCCCACTTCCCTCTCCCTCTTGCCAGGTCTGAGTCTACTAGAGTACCCCAATCTCAAGCCAGTGGACCCAGCTTATGCGCTTCCTGTGGATATTGTGGATAGGGTTTTCAGAGACAGGGAGCTGAAGCACCTGCAAGCCTAGTGGCGGGACCTTCTGCCTATCCCAATGCTCCTCGAACAGTAATAGCTTTTGGAGGCGAATGAAGCATCTCTGTAAACTGTTTTTCATTATTGTCCTCCGCACAGAATTACATATGGTATAACAAATCAATATTGCTTCCTGTTGATGTTGTGAATGTTGCGATCAGAAGTTGATCGACCTCAGGATCACCTCAGGAAGGTTCGCACACTTCTAATCTAGTGGTGGTGGGCCCTTGACCTCAATAGCAGAGTGAATGTAAATGCTTGAGATAATAAAAACATGCAGTACAAGGAATATAAATAAGATTACAAGCGGATACCAATCGACCTAGCTAGCCATGTACTCTAAGGGGTACATTCCCTTACTGCAGCGAAAATCCAACCGTGCGACTCCAGACAGTTAGGAAACTGTTCGGGCAGAATCCTCGCCACTGCTGCTGCCTGATGCTGTCTGCCCGACGGTCCAGACCCTTTCGTAACCGTGTGACTCTTCGTGTCACCTCCGCCTGTCCGTCTTCGTTCTCGGTAGAGCGTGCTTCGATTGCTGCGGTGAGGAGTGTATAATAGTGTTTCAACAATCACTATTCGTAACACCCCCCTTCACTCCTGGCCGTAGCGAGTCTTGACCCACTTGACTACCCCGCTGAGTTCGGAGCAGTGCTGGTACTGCTGACGTGACAGCTTCTTTGTGAGGAAGTCAGCTGCCATGTCACCCGTCGGGCAGTAGGTTAGGTCAACCTTGCCCTTGTCAACTTCGTCCTTGACGAAGAAGTACCGCAGCGCGATGTGTTTGGTCCGATTGACGAATCCCGGCTTGTTCGCGATCCTGATCGCGCTCTGGTTGTCGCAGTGTAGGCGAAAATTCGTCGAGGCTGGAATTTTCGCCTCCTGCAGCAGCTCCTGAAGGTAGAGGCCTTCGCGAACGGCTGCTGTTGCTGCGATGAATTCAGCCTCGGCTGATGACAGGGAAACCAGCTCCTGTTTCTGTTAATTCCAGGAGATGGGGCCGCTGGGCTCGAGACGGAAAAGGAGGTCCCTGATGTTTTGATCCCTTGGATCCGCGCTTCTCGTCTCCAGCTCAGTGAGCGGTTCCACTCGGACTTTCCTGTCCTGCGTCTGCACTCTGACAGAGGTGGTGAGTTCTCCTCTGACCTCTTGGCAGCCTACTGTGCGGAGCACGGCATCCGCCAGTCGTTCACGCTTCCGGCCTCTCCACAGCAGAATGGGGTTGCTGAGCGCCGCATTGGTTTGGTCATGGAGGTCGCTCGTACCTCCTTGATCCATGCGGCTGCCCCCCACTTTCTGTGGCCGTTTGCGGTCCGATACGCTGCGCATCAGCTCAACCTCTGGCCCCGTGTCTCCGTTCCGGAGACTTCGCCGACACTGCGTTGGACGGGAGAGGTTGGCGATGCGTCGCGTTTTCGGGTCTGGGGATCCCGAGCTTTTGTTCGCGATACGTTCGCGGACAAGCTCTCCTCCCGCGCTGTTCCCTGTGTCTTCCTTGGCTTTGTCCCGGACGCGTCTGGTTGGCAGTTTTACCACGCCACCTCGCGCCGTGTCCTGCCCTCTCAGGACGTCACTTTTGACGAGTCCGTGCCCTACTACCGCCTCTTCCCCTACCGCACTGCCCCGCTCCCCCCCCCGCCTCTCTTCCTCGCGCCAGGTGCTGCTGTGGTAGACCCCCTCCCCCCTCAGGGTGCCGCTCCCTCAGGTGTGTCCCAGGTAGACCCGGTTGAGCCTGTCGAGGTAGCTGTCGACTCTCGTCCTGCTAGGGGTGCTGAGCCTGAGCGTGCGGAGCCTGGGGTTGCGGAGTCTGGGGGTGCTGAGCCTGGGGGTGCGGGGTCTGGGTGTGCGGAGCCTGCGGGTGCTGAGTCTGGGGGTGCTGAGCCTGGGGGTGCGGAGCCTGCGGGTGCTGAGTCTGGAGGTGCTGAGCCTGGGGGTGCTGAGCCTGGGAGTGCTACGTCTGAGAGTACTGAGCCTGAGCGTGCTGCACCTGGGGGAGGCCTCTCCTCGCAGCAGCTGCGTGAGTGGTACTTACAGTACTGCAGCCTCAGGAGAGGTGCTTCTGGAGCTCGGAGTGGTGCCGGAGCTGGTGCTAGTGCTTCCCCTCCTAGGCGGGAGCTCCCCTCTCCCCAGCAGCTCCGAGAGTGGTACGCTAGGCGCTGCAGTCTCCGGAGTGGCGCTCCCGGTGTCGTGGACTCTGGAGCTTCTGGAGTTACTGGAGGTGCTGCTGCTGCTGGCGGTGCGGCTGGCGCTGCTGGAGGTGCTGCTGGTGCTGCTGGAGCTGCTGGAGGTACTGCTGCTGCTGGAGGTGCTGCTGGCGCTGCTGGAGGTACTACTGGTTCTGGTGCTGCTGGAGCTGCTGGAGGTGCTGCTGCTGCTGGCGGTGCGGCTGGCGCTGCTGGAGGTGCTGCTGGTGCTGCTGGCGCTGCTGGAGGTGCTACTGGTGCTGGAGCTACTGGAGCTGCTGGTGGTACTGCTGCTGCTGGCGGTGCTGCTGGCGCTGCTGGAGGTGCTGCTGGTACTGGTGCTGCTGGAGCTGCTGGAGGTGCTGCTGCTGCTGGTGGTGCTGCTGGCACTGCTGGAGGTGCTGCTGGTACTGGAGCTGCTGGGGACCCTGCTGCTGCTGGCGGTGCTGCTGGAGCTGCTGGGACTGGCCCTGCTGAGGGGGTTGGAGCTGGAGGTGCTGAGCGGCCACGGCCGTACTACGTTCCGCTCCTTCAGCAGGTTCTTGGCCTTCCGCCCTCTCCTGGTCCTACTCCTCCCCTACTGAGTCCACCGCTTGTCCAGTCGCAGTCACAGTTACAGCCAGTCTCTCCACTTCCTGGTCCTTCTCCCTACACTGCGCCGACGGGAGGTCTTACGGAGCGTCGTGAGCCTGAGTCTCGTCCTCCGTCGCCTGAGACTCGTCCAGAGTCGTCTGAGTCGCGTCCAGAGTCGCCTGTCCGCGCTGTCCGCGCTGGTCGTCGTGTTCCACGTCAGCGTCCTCCTCCTGTCCTTGGCACTCACTATATGACCCTGCGTCCCTCTACTGCTCCACAGCGTGTCCCACTGCCGTCTCCACCAGCGTCCTCTCTTCCTGCTCTTGCTGACCCGGAGTCTGACTCTCTTCGTGCTGCCAGTCCTACTGTCACGCGTCTCCTTGCCACTGCTGTCACTGACCCTTCCTTTGAGTCCTTTGCTGCGTCTGCTCTAGTCGCTGAGCTTGTTGACTTTGCTGCTGCCTGTCGTCTAGACTACGCCGCTAGCCTTGTTGCTGAGTCTGAGTCTGAGTCTGTCTGTCCTCCGTCTGTCGGGGGTGAGTGTGCTCTTGGCACGGACGTCCTTGAGGACAGACAGGAGGAGTTTGAGTGCTTTGCCGCTGCTTTGCCTCATCTCGTGTCCATGCTAGTTGCCCCTGAGGGAGACCCGGATGCACCAGACATCCCGACCCCACGCTCCTACGCAGAGGCGATGGAGGGTCCCTACTCCTCTCAGTGGCAGACAGCCATGGACGCAGAGATGGCTTCCTGGAAGTCCACAGGCACCTACGTCGACGAGGTTCCCCCACCTGGGGTGAACATCGTCAGTGGCATGTGGATTTTCAGGGTGAAGCGGCCGCCGGGTTCTCCGCCTGTCTTCAAGGCGCGTTACGTTGCACGAGGCTTCAGTCAGCGAGAGGGAGTTGACTTCTTCCAGACCTTCTCCCCGACCCCGAAGATGACCACTCTTCGGGTTCTGCTGCACGTCGCTGCTCAGCGTGACTACGAGCTCCACTCTCTTGACTTCAGCACTGCGTTCTTACAGGGCAGCCTGCACGAGGAGATCTGGCTGCGCCGCCCACCTGGCTTCACTGGGTCGTTCCCTCCTGGTACCCAGTGGAGCCTCCGGCGGCCAGTCTACGGTCTCCGCCAGGCACCCCGTGAGTGGCACGACACACTGAGGACTACTCTTGCTGCTCTTGGGTTTGCTCCTTCTACTGCTGACCCGTCGCTGTTTCTACGCACCGACACCACTCTGCCGCCGTTCTACGTTCTTGTTTACGTAGACGACTTGGTCTTTGCTACTGCTGACACTGAGGCACTCGCCCACGTGAAGTCGGAGCTGCAGAAGAGACACACGTGCACAGACCTGGGTGAGCTGACAAGCTATCTTGGCTTGCGGATCACCCGGGACAGAGCACAGCGCACCATCACCTTGACTCAGTCACACATGGTGCAGCAGGTCCTTCAGCGCTTCCGCTTCACGTACTCCTCGCCTCAGCCCACTCCTCTGCCTACCGGTCACTCGCTCTCAGCTCTGCCTTCGGATGAGTCCGTAGAGCCGAGTGGCCCGTATCCAGAGCTTGGGGGGTGCCTCATGTACCTGATGCCCTGCACTCGACCTGACCTGGCATACCCTCTTAGCATCCTAGCACGCTATGTCGCTCCCGGCCGTCACCGGAAGGAGCACATGGATGCCGCTAAGAGGGTGTTGCGCTACTTGTGCAGTACTTTGGGCATGGGGCTCGTGCTTGGAGGTCGGAGCGACGTTGTCCTCACGGGTCACTCAGACGCTTCTTGGGCTGACGACCAGGCTACGCAGCAGTCGTCTCAGGGTTACACCTTCAGCCTTGGCTCTGGTTCAGTTTCTTGGCGTTCTACTCGCTCTTCTTCTGTTCTCAGCTCCAGTTGTGAGGCTGAGATCTACGCCACAGCCATGGCTGCACAGGAGTTACGCTGGCTCACCTACCTGCTGACCGACCTGGGAGAGCGGCCTCGTTCTCCTCCAGTGCTGTACGTTGACAACAAGGCCGCCATTGCCTTGTGTGAGGAGCACAGACTGGAGCACAGAACGAAGCACATCGCTCTGCGCTACTTCCTTGCTCGAGAGCTGCAGCAGCGTGGTCAGCTTCGTCTGCGTTACGTGGCCACTCGGGCCAACACTGCTGATGTGTTCACCAAGGCGCTTCAGCCTTGTGACCATCAGCGTTTCTGTACTGTTCTAGGCCTTGTGCCTACTCTCCCTCACTTGCTCACTTCT